TACATAAACCAAAAAAAAACTAAGCTTGCTGCTGTCAAATCAATTTGACTCATAGTGACCCCTCCTTGGGTTTCCCAGGCAGTATCTCTATGGAAGTCAATTGCCCAACCTTCCTTCCAAGGAGTGGCTGGGGGGTTTGAACCTCCAGCCTTCTGGTTAGCAGTCAAGTGCCTTAGGCACTATGCCACCAGAGCTCCTATCAGTCTATCTCTCTGTCTCCAAACTCACTGTCATCAAGTCAATCCGACTCATAGCAACCCCTCCCTGGGTTTCTAAGGCAGTGTCTCTACGGAAGTAGATTGCCCAGTCTTCCTTCCACGGAGTGGCTTATAGGTTTGAACCACCAGCCTTCTGGTTAGTAGTCATGCTTTTAGTCATTACTAAAAGTAAAAAGTTTACACTTTTTAAAAAAATCCAAAAATAACATTCTCATAGCAACATTTAAATCCTTTGGTTGATTGGAAAAACCTCCAACACATTTTGCATAGTGATGAGTCACTGGGACCCCAAAACCCCCAACGCACCCCATCTGTCCGTGCTAGACCTACTGCACAAACCCCTCAGGCCATCCCTGGCCCTCCTTGGGTACCAGACGAAGATGGAGGGAGAACAGGCCAGGACATCCCAGAACGGAATGGCCTCCCACTTCTGAGCCCAGGGAGCTCCACCACCTCCTGTCACCCACTGCCTGTCGCCAGCATGCAGACTGAAAACTGATGTTCAGGTTGGGGGGAGGGCAAAAATGGAAAACCCATGAGTGACAGCCACTGGCTAATTCTGGCCTGTGCCCAGGCTAGCTTCACTGGGTCATGCAGAGGGTGATAACAGGCCAACAGGTGTGACCTGTGACCAGAGCCATCCTTTCAATGGCTACGGTATGGAAACTCTAAGGTGGGGTCTCAGGGAAAGAGCCAGGAGAGAGGGCCAAGGGGGACTATGGAGAGCCTACGCCAGGTGCTGAGCTCGGAAGCTTCCACGTCTCAGGCATCTACCCTGAGCGACACTGCACTCCCTGAGTGCAGTACACAGCCCCTCTCAGGCACCCTCAGCATCACAGTGCAGGCTGGGTGCAGAAGGACAAACACAGGCCTGGCAGGTCCTTGCCGCCTAAGGTCCTTGCACCCGCAGACCCCTCCCCAGGTTGAGGAGCTGTCACTCTGTGACATCGGCAGCCTGGAGATGGCGTAGGCCTCAGTCTCAGTGTGCGCTTCTGATGCCAGGCACCCCAGACCCCATGGTTCTTCCCAGCTGTAATGGTGGAGCCAAGGTTACGGGGACCCACGCGGCTGCAATAGCAGAAAACGGCGGTGCCGGCAGAGAAGAGGCTGCCCGGGAGAGGGGCGTGGCGCAGGGTCCCAGCACGCCGACCCACGCCAGGCATGCAGGCTTAGACTTCCCGAGCATTCACAGATGACGAAACAGACTCAAGGTCAAGTTCTGGGTGCAGAGGGCAGGTCAGGGGCTTGGACGCAGGCTGTGTTCTTTTGCACTCGGCGCCCGGCCTCCCCAGCACAGGTCTTTGAGCCCCATCCACGTCCGACTCCCCTTCTTCCTCAGCCCTCCCAGAACCCCCATCCCAGACCCTGGACCCCGGTGACCTGTCTCCTGGGGTCGCTTACAAGTGGGCTATGGTCTCCGCCGGGAGGAACAGGTCCTTCCTAGGACACTAGACGGTACAGTGCATCCCCTCAGAACTATCCCAGGGACGATGCTTGCCACTGACCAGAACTCCAGTCCATAAACCCTACCTCTGAGCAGGCCTGAGACCTCCACCGTCCACAGCAGATGCTCAGGGGAAGGTCCAGGTCCACGGTCAAGGGCAGGACCTCTACCTGCTGGCTCTCCAGCCATGCCTCCATCAGCCTGCCCCCACAGCCACTCCGACCGTGCTCCTGCTAAGGGCTGAGCCCCTCTTCCTTCCCGGAGGCTCTGTCCTTCACGCCTGGGGGCAGGAGAGAGGCAGGTTGCTAGGTTTCTGAATGAATGAATGAATGAATGAATGCTTTCCTGGAGACAAAGCTTCAGAAACGCCCTTCCTCCACCATCCTACTTCTGTCATCCTTTTAGGTCCAGCTCAGAATGACCATGCAGGGCGCACACCCTGACCTGACGCCTGGCTGCCTCCAGCCGTCCTCACCCTGGGGACCCCAGAGGTGGGAGGGATGACCAGCAGGTCCATGCCTCTTGACACACCCAGCAGCCTCAAGGGCCAAGAAGAAAAGACCATCAAAGCCAATGCAGGGACCTCACTTCAGACTCCATCAAGACTGGGCAGCCAAAGCCTGAAGCAGAGTGCCAGCTGGGCAGCCACTGGCCAGGACCAGGGAGGTCCCGGGGACCACGGCGGGACCTGCAAGGGCTGGAGCCTCCCCTAGCAGCCAGGACTCGAGAGCCCAAGGCCCTGTCTCGGCGAGGCCAGCACTGCCAATGGCATGAGCAGCGGTGTGGGCATTTCTGGAAGCCCAAGTGGAGAGTGCCTGGGATTCCTAGCTGTCCTCTTAAAATGTTAAGACTCAATTATCTTCAAGCAGCTTGCTTTATCCGTGCATTGACACATTTATTTTACAATAAATAACGGAACACTGTCTGTGTTTCCTTTACTGTGAATCTAAATAGAAATAAGAAGGGCTTATCCACAAAAATGCAACGGCTGCAGTCCTCAGAATTCAATTACGCCAAAATAATTAATGCTCCACCATATTAAATCACTTTAGACATTTGAGCCACTGAAGTTAGATTCTTTAATCTTTCCTTTTTATTAAATAAAACGAATATAAAGAAAAAATAAAGTTGGCACCAAAATAGGGAGGGAAAAGGGAAAACAGGACTAGAAAGACAAGGATGGGCCGTTAAAACGCAGTGTCCTTCCTCAGCTGACACAGCATGGCGACGGTTTGTGCCTTTGATTAAAATAACATTTTAAATGCTTTGAACAAACATCTCTTTTTAGACTTCTAAGGGATGATTTTACATATTTCTTCTAAAACGAAGAAATCCATTCTTCCTGTTGCTGAACAGAAGAGCCAAGAATACCTCTCATCACACATATGATCAAAATACGCTGGTGGGCTGGGGGGATCACAACCCAAAACCAACAGGGGGCCTGGGGCAGGGGAGGACGAAACAGCCCCGAGACGAAGCCGGCCCTTGACAGGATCACAGGTTGCTTGCTGCCTTCTGAAACAAACCCGCCGCGGCTGACCTGCAACCCCACCTCGGGCAGCTCCTTCACGTGAGCTGAGGATCTCGGAGTGTTCTGGCGGAAGCAGACCCTTCCTCCTGACACACAGACGGAGGGCCTGAGTGTCCCGGGCTGTGGGCCTCACACCCTGCAAGGTCTGCGTGAGCCGTTCCGGGCCAGCAGGGAAGCCCAGCATCCAATCCCCTGGTGATAACTACCCCTCGAGCGTCAGACAAGGGGGACAGAGGGGTGGGGCCCCCAGCACCTCTCTCACCTGCTAGTTCGGGTCCTAATTGAGCAGCATCATGGGGGTCTGCAGCGAGTTTACACCCTCCCGTCTCCACACACCTCCTCCCTGCCCTTCACGCCGTTCAAGGCGAGTGAGCGGTATCGTGTGCTTGGGCACCAACCAGAAGGCCGGACCCGCGGTCTGCTCTGGCTCCTCAAGGTCTCCCACCAGGGTCTCCTGGCCTGGTGCCTGCAGGAACTCTGCAGACCCCCACAACCCCCGAGAGCCAGCTCCTCTCCAGGTCCCATTTGACAGGGGAGCAGAGGGAGGCCCACGGTCACGTGGCCGCCTTGTGGCAGAGCTGAGCTTGCGGGGTTACCCTGAGCTGACGGCCACCTGGGACGGTGCATCTCAACTGTGGGAGTGAGGTATGCTGCCCACGCCTGGCTCACGCTTCTGGGAGCACCCAAAAGCCTGCATCCCCGCCCCCCGCCCCAGTGCCCTCATTAGGCTCCAGGACCAGTTTTCCTAGCCAGCCAGCCATCGACTGGATGTGGCAGAGCCAGAGGGAACGCCGGAGACAAGTCACACGAGCCAAGCATCCAGGGAGCCCTGCTCATTTTGTCCTCCCACCAGCCCTGCTCGTGGTATCACAAGTGACAGGTGGAGAAACTGAGGCTCGGACCCAGGAAGGAGCCTGTACCACGCCCACCAGCAGGACTCCAAGCCTTGTCTGCAGGAACTCTAGCATCCATCTTGCTCCAGGACAGGCAGCCATTCCCCTGGCCTCCTGGGCTCAACAGTGGGAGCTAGGAGCAAATCCTGCCCCCAGGGAGCAGTGAGTCCCAGGATGGGGGACCAGTACCGCAGGAGAGAGGATACAGTGCAAACTCACGGGGTGCACAGACCCAAGTGGAGGAGGCAAGCCCAGGCCAGGAGCAGAGGGGCCCCCAGCCCTGCTCTGCAGAGCATGTGACAGGGCATGTCCACCCTCCCCCGGGGGGCAGTGTTTCAGCACATTCCTGTACAACCACCTCCAGAGCCCCTCAGACCAGGCATCGTCCCAAGGGGCTCAGATCAGGGGGTTGACCCCTATTTTCTAGGGGAAACTGAGGCCAGAAAGAGGAGGGAGGAGGACACGAGTGCTCCCATCAACCAACGCCTGCCCTGTCCTGCCACACACAATGGCTCATCTAATCCACATGGACCCGAACGCCATTGTACAGATGGGGACACTGACTTATTTAAGTTGGGAAGCACAGGTTTGAACCCAAGACTGCCTGGCTCCAAAGCCAGGCCAAGACCACCAGCAAAGCAAGGGCCAAGCAGACTTTCTGAATGTCCATCTTCACTCCCGGCTGCCCACAGCTGAGGCCCAAAGCCAGAGCCCCCTGACCGAAAGCAAAGCCACCTCGGCCTGTCCCCCACCTTCCGGGGGACCCTCAGGAAGGATGAGCCCCCGCTGGCGGCCCAGAGTCCCTCCCGCACCAGCCCCTGAGCCCGAGGGCAACCCTCAGAACAGCAGGGCGGACCCCGGCAGGGTCCCGGCGACGGCGAGGGCAGCAGCCAGCTGTGTGTGACAGTGCGTACCTGCGATGTTCTCCTGCTTGGGGCAGATGCCTTTCGTGGGCGAGAGCAGGTGGTCGTCTTCGTCAGGAGTGACCTGGATCCCGATTTCCACCGGCTCGGACACTTTCCTGAGCTCGGAGCGGGCGGTGGGCGGCGGGCTGCCCTTATCCAAGCCCTTATCATAGCAGGCACTCAGGCCGCCACACTGTTTCCTCTTGTGCTCTATGAAAACCAGGATGTCCCCCAGGGGGAAGTTCATCTGACACTGTCCACAGGTGAGCAGGTCAGGGTCGGGGCCACCCACTATCAGCCCCAGGCCACTGGGTTCCTCTACCTCCAGACCCTCGTCTTCGTCGAGGATGGTGGCCTCCACGTGGTCAGCCTCTGCTGGAGACAGAAAGGAGAAGGGGGGGCAGAGAAGACAGAGACGGGCTTAGGCAACAGCAAGCACCTGGCCTTCCAACCCTTCCCCACCGAGCTCACCAAGTCTCCCCATCCTTCCTGGAGACAGAGCTTCACCGTGCCCATTGGGCAGATGGGCAAACTGAGCTCCTGCAGCGCTGGGTAGGCTCCCAGAGGCTCTCACAGGACTGCTGATCGGACAGCTTTCTAGCTGATTTTCTGCCAGTTCCCTCCCAACACAGCGCATACACACACTCACACACACACACACACACTGTAGTTTCAAAAAGAGGTGGGCCAGTGCAATGCGGCAGACCATGACAGACCCACAGCCCTGGGGGGCCTCAAGCATCAGTAGGTTTTAGGCCCGCCCCCTCTAGGCTACCCTGGTGGGAGCTGAGGCCAAGGCCCAGCGAGCAGAGGCCTGCCCCTGCTTGGACAGTCTCCACCCGCCCTCCACTTCCACCTCCCAGTCATGTGCTCCCCATTCATGCAAGCCCTGCTCACATTCCTCCACCTGAGACCTGGCTGCACCCCAAACAAGGAGACGGAAACCCTGACGGGCATCAGCGGCCCATCTGCATGCAGGGAGGGGGCCCCCACGCTCACAACGCGGCACGTGAGCGCAGGTCCAACAGAGCGGAGCAAAGACCATGCAGGGAGGACACTGGCCGGCCGGGCAGACACCAGTCTGGGCAGCAGCACGTCACTGTGCCAGTTTCCCAGCACTCATCCACTCCTCACTGTCTCCTTTTGTGGACGGGTTTTGTTTTCACTCCCAAAAGAAAAAAAAAAAAAAACTCTTCAGACTCCAGAACCTTTTCTTGGCAGTTCCCAGCCACCTTCCCACTTCCCAATGACCTACATGTTTTTCTATTTCTTTAGCAGCCCATATATTTCCTTTCCTTTCTGTCTTTTTTTTTTTTTTTTTTTTTTTTTTGGTAGCAAGCAGAGCACCCAAGTATTTTTGAAGCTAATAAATCCCTTCAAAAGCAGCCACCCCTTGAGGGACAATCAGAAGGCTTGGCGGCCCAGTGTCATAAATACGAGCAGAGGACAGGAGGTTTCATATTCCCCCTGGTTCCCAGGTCTGAGAAAGCGCGGGCTGGGGTTTTCAAGGGAAATGTCAGGCGTCCCAGCCAAGGGCCGGGTGGTGCTGCCTTCAGAGGAGCAAGGGCAGCCATGGGTATGAAACTCCAGCAGGCAGGTCGATTTTAAGGGAGATGGCATTTTACGAAAGATCAGGGAAACCACAGAAGATCTGGGAGGAAGACTGGACAAAAAAGGAAGACATTCCGTGTAAGTGAAGTTACGGACGGGCCGGGGCCAGGGAACAGATAATTTAAGGAAAAAATTCTGTGGCATCCTCCGTCTTCCACATAAATCACAGCTGTGTGTTTTCTGAACACCAATGTCTTCATGGCCCACACACACCCCTGTGAATGCAGAACATGTGACACACGACATGCAATGTGCACACGTGAACTGTGCACGAGGCACAGGTTTGCAGAATTTGCCTGTGGTTCCAGAAAGCAGACAGAGGCCTCGTTGAATGTCACGGAGCCACAAAGGCCTGCGACACGTGGCAGAATGAGATCCCCGACAAGGAGTCCCGGAACCTGTCATGTATGGATCCAGCAAGAAGAACCGACGACCAGGCAAGTAGGCCTCCCAAAGCCCATCCCAGAAGCCATTCACTGCGCTTGAAAAAGAAATCGGGGTTTCCTTAAAAAGGAGTTTGGAGACAATGCCACGTAATTAATTTACCAGTTTATTTTATGAGGAGATGCTTTGCCACGGTGAAGATGGACTCACACCCTCACAGAAAGCAGCATTTGGAGGGGAGACCAGATCTCTGTGCCGGGATTGTCGGGACGTAAAAGGTAATTATTCCGTGACTGTTCCCTTTAATGGTCTAACATAGAGCAATATTGTTTATATTGAAAAGCTTGCACCTTTAACTACCAATTACATAGATGTCGTTTCAGAGCCAAAGGAGAAGGCTGTGGAAACGGTCCTTTAGAAATATGAGGCCGTCTTGTGCGCATTTCTCAGAAGGGGACTCCAATAAGCAGGTGGAGGGTGTCAAAATATTGTTTTGTTTAAAAAAAAGAAAAGGCACCAAGGAAATGAACTAAGAAGCAAAAATGAGCCCCGTGGGGTGGAGAATTCAGATGAAACGGGACCATTCTATGGGGGTGAGGGTGGAGGGGTGGACCTGGCCCACTTCAGTGCTGTCCTGGCCAGCCGGCACCCTCAGCCAGGGCACGGCCATCCACCCCCGGCAGCCACAGCACAGGAGGGCACGCTTTCAGCAGGTGGGGCGCAAGTTGTCCTTTCAGGTGGTGTAGGGGGTCTTAGTCATGGTTTGGTTTACTTTGACCCTTGATTAACTTTCTCTGCCTCCTCCCTCCATTGCCCCTCCAGACAGGCACGGATAAGCCCCCTCTGCCCGCATGGTCTCAGCTATAAGGTCCCAGATTCATTTTCTAATTCAGAAGAGACACAGACGTTTCAAAATTAGCGCAGTTCCCACACGCCTGTTCACCAGCCTCCCTCCCTCTCCCTTCCCTTTGGCCAAGGACTCCATACCAGGACTTTTCCCCCTTTCTTTCTGGTTTTTTTTTTTTTTTTTTCTTTTTTTTGTAACATCTGGTATTCTTCCCTTCTGTTGGCAGCGTCTGTCTCTTCACTTTCTTCATGCAGCAAGCCCGTGTGAGCCACAGTAACAGAGTCTAAAAGTGTCCACAGCCGTTCACTGAGCTACGTCCTGACATCTGAGTCAGTGCCCCACGCCACCCGCCACCCTGGGCAGTGAGGCCCGGCTGGCGTCCCTGGCACGGCTCTGGGGTCATGCTGGGCTCCAGGGCCTGCCCTAAACACAGCCTCCCCTCCCAGACCCAGGACTCACTGCATTTCCGGGAGCTTGGGAGGAAAGGAAACCAAAACACCTCTTCCCCCTGCACTTTCAGTGCTGAAAGCAAAAGTCCTGGGGGGTGACAGGAGATGTGCATGAACCCCAAAGAATGGAGTCTCCTCGCCCTACCCCTCAGGCTGGGGCCCAGAGCTGGGGCCCACTGCATCCTCCACTTCCTAGGAAGTGGGGTCACCGGGCCCTCAACCTGTCAGAGACTTGTGCACCAATGTTCATGGCTGCACCATTCACAGTAGCCAAAAGGTACAAAGAACCCAAGTGTCCATCCACAGATGTTCGGGGTCAACAAAATGTGGCAAGAACACACCACGGAGTGTCACTCAGTCACAAAGAGCAAAGAGGTTCTGGTCCCTGCTGCGACACACATGCACCCTGGAAACGTGGTGCTGAGCGAAGCCAGTCAGATACCAAAGGACGAACCTCGCATGATCCCACTCAGAAGTCTTGGAACAGGCAGATGCACAGAGGCCCGCGTTTCCTTGTGGGCCCTGGGCAGCCGGGAGGGGGTGGGGAATGGTACTGAGCTTCTGGGAAGGGTGACTGACGAGCAGACTTGGAAGTGGACAGCAGTGGGGGATGGGGGACTGCACACCATGCAGGATGCCATTAATGTCGCAGAGGTGTGCATGTGAAAGTGAGCGAAACGGCCACCGTTCCGTTATCAACATCCCGCCACAGTTTAAAACAACAATAACAAAGCTGGCAAACTCCCCGAGCAGGGTGAGCGCGTGGGGCAGCTCCCAGGGTCTGAAAGCTCAGCTCGCTAGGAGCACCTCCAGAAACAACTGTGGTTTCGTTTCCGCTGGCAGGCGGATGCCAGGCTGGGCGTGGAGGGTGTGTGTGCGCGTGTGCGTGTGCGTGTGTGTGTGTGCCTGGGGCCGTCCCTACAACTGTATCCATAACGGAAGAAATAAAAGGACAAACAGCCACTCTGCCCAGCCTGGGGAAGGGCCGGTAGGGAATAAGCCTGGCCCCCCGAGAACCCAGTGGGCACCTGGGGCCTTGAGGCTCCTCACAGGCCCAGAGGATCAGGCCTCCCCTGCACCTGGCGGTGTGGTCCGAACCACCCCCGAGAGACAGCAGGAAAGCATCGCGAACAGGGCAGACAACAACAGCTACCAAACGCAGCCTTCCTCCTCCACGCCACTGGCTCCCACCACTGAGGCCTTACAAACAGAGGCCAAAGGTGAGGTTTCCCTCTGGGACTTGTTTTTCTTTGGTGTCCAGGCAATCCTACAAAGTACTGCTGCCCCCATGAAAGGTGAACCATTGAGGACAGCAATGGCTAAAACGTCTCAGTCCCACGAGGAGGAAAGAGCTCACGGAGCAGCCGTGTTCAGGGCTCAGATGGCCTAGGGCTTGGTGAGTTCCGAAACATTCAGCCCTGCGTGCACAGGCAAATACATGTTTACACACGCACACACGTGCGCGCACTCGCACACATACACACGGAGTTAAATTTCCTTTTATAACAAAACCACATTTTATTTATAAGGCTGGGCCTCCTCCCAGCTGGTAAACGCATTTAGAAGCAATGAATCTGGGGCTCACGGGTACCAGCGCACAGCACGCTCAGTGGTGGGGAAGGCCTTCGTCCAGAGGCCAGCTCCTCCGAGCCTCGGCTCGGCTGTGCAGCAATTTCGGGCAGGAGACAGAAATACCAAGAAATCGCTCTTGCTAGCCCAGCCAGGCCAAGAGGCCCTGCCAGCTTCCACAGCTCTGCCCAGCCTCACCTGGCCAGGGACCCGCCCCCCTGCCTGAACCATCTCTACCAGCTGTCTGCACACCTGCCCTTTGAGAGATTCCAGCCAGTGGGGCTGCAGCCTGCTGGCCACAGAGGCCCCAGCTCCGTCCCTGGCCCCTGCCTTGTGCACAGGTCCCTGCCTTCAAAGGCTAAGCCACAATCAGAGAGAAACATACGCCGAAATTAGTGTTTCAGTGACAGGGGTGGGAAAGAGGAGGGCGTGGGGGGGAGGGCTATGAGGCTCTTAAAACGGTGCAACACCCACGTCACAGCCACCATCCTGATGTGTCCTCGTGTTTACAAGAG